CGTTTCAGCAAGTAGATATCCATATATTTAAATGGACCTTGTTGGAGCATACGTAATCCTAAAATGTAGCATCGTACTACAGATGGCGTTTACCGCGCCATTTATGGTATTTTCTAAAACGCAGTAGCTAAAAGTATTTTAATACACTCTAACTTTAATAAATTTTTTCAAATATTACACTGTTATTTCAAAAAATGATAGAAATATAATGCAATCTGGAGAGGAGCCCCATATAAGGTGACTTTCCTGTACTAAAATATGCACATCGAAGAGTTTTTTTAAGGTCTACATTCCTGTAAACAAAAAGAAGAGCATGACCATGATATCACTTATTTCGTGATCTAACAAGATTATGGTACGAAAAGTGCTGTCGTGGTCAAGCTCTTTCTTTTGTCTACAGAAATGTGGTCCATCTATTCCATGAAATACCTATGCAAATGAAATAATTCTCTATTTCATGAGATGTTCGTTGCTTATTTCATGAATTAACAAAATTTTGCTAGGTACCTACAAGTAATAAGATACACACAAATATAGAATAATAACTAAGCAAGTTCAAATTGTATTTGATTTATGTTCTGATTTTAGATGAATAAAGTTACACATTACTTAGACGGTTCAGTCATTTACGGGTCAAATCCTGCAGAAACCAATAAGCTAAGAAGTCATCATGGAGGTAAACTGAAAATTTTCGACGATTTCGGAAGGGATTTACTACCAACCGATGCAGAGAGTGATGCATGCGTGGGGTCTGACGATGGCTCAGCATGTTTCTTTGCAGGTTTGTATAAACGGTATAAAATTAGTCAAACAAAAAGCACGAACAGTAGCCGTCCACCAGCCACTAATGCTGGTGGGCGGGCAGTCCCTCCTGACTATGCCGGAAGGTAGGGTGGAAGGCCCTCTTCAGTCTCCTTTTAGGAATCGTGGGAATGGGTGGGTGGTGGTTCGGGTGACAAAGATGAGACGGACGAAATGAAGACAGAAGAGAATGAAAGATTATCTGTGGAATATTTAATGTTCTAGCATTTGCCTAAGTCCAAGTAGTATCCAAGGAAACTATAGAAAAACCTGGACCAAGGCAGACGGCCCTGGAATAGAACCGGCGTCCTCCTGAATACTAAGCAATGGTCTAAACCTCTAGGCCATACCGCTTGGTCAGCAACCGTTGTGTCAGGAACTATTTATACTTCAGATTTTAGGCTTGCGAGTTTTACTTTGTACCTGCGTTTCGTGGGCTATACAATTCATTTGTTCAAGACAGACAAAAAAGTCTTAATACTTTTGCGTCTTTCATTTCCGTGGGTGGGTGGCTTTTTCGACTAACAGTTTAGTGCAAGGTAGGAGAAAAGGTCTTCTTCAGCTTTCTTGTAGGAGTCGTGGGAATAGATGGGTGGTAGTTAGGAAAAGAAAGAAGAGACTGACGAAATGAAGACAGAAGAGAAATGAAACATTATCTGTTAGAGTTAGCCATTTATGCCTGGGTGACCAATCGAACGCTAATAGGCAGTGGTCTAATTATTAGTTCAAGTTCTGGAATCTGAAGTACCATGCGTTACGATTCTTGAGTGAAAAGTGTAATTTCCTTTTACTGTGCTAGTGTTGCAACATTAAAGCATTTT